CACAAGCGATGAAACTATATTTTTATGTAATTGTATTCATTTCTATCCGTTTTTGTGATTTGCAGAAAGTTGTCAAAACATCTGATGATTACGAAGACAACAACGGGAGGGATGTGTTGAATGAGTTGTCCGACTTAGAGACCACAATCTCGGACAATGATCAGCCATTTTCCGGCCAATCCGTACCACCGGATACACTGTCCAGACCTTTGGCCGAAATACGAGTCGCCCGTCAAAACTTACCTAAACCTAGAACTCAACAAAAACCCAAAAGTAAGACTAATTTTAAATTTAATTTCGAAATAAATATTTCACAAAAATTATTTCTTATATTTATATAACTGTAATATAAGAGGAAATTACACTTTTGTTGAACACACTGTAAAGTAAAGTCACAAACATTTCTGATTTGACAGAAAAGACTGGAGGCTTGACGTCAAAGCCTGAGTCCTGGTCTTCACGACAATCTGTGCCGCAATGGCTTCTCTTCGGAGCGGATCCGCCCAAAGAGGTCAACAGACATGTCGAATACGAAGGATATGACGGATGGTATAATAATATTGCTAACCCGGATCTAGGTGCAATTGGTCAGTCATTTAATATAATAGTTAACATAATTAACATTTAAAAATTATTCATCAAATCAAACAATAAAATAAAGTGTAATTTTAATTTACAGACAAACCACTGGTTAGACTCGTATTTCCCAAATATAGTGATGGTGTGTACGAGCCGTCGGGTGCCGATCGACCCAATCCTATACAACTGTCCGAAGCATTGATGAGCGGAGAGATCGGGAACCGATCCAACACTGGAAAGACGGCATTCTTTGTATACTTTGGCCAACAGATCGTGGAGGAGATACTGGACGCTCAGGGGAGCGGATGTCCGCCCGAATACTTCAACATAAAAATACCGGAATATGTTTTGGCCGAAAACGGCAGTGAAGTGCCGTTCAGTCACAGCACAGGCCATACGGCGATGCCTTTGTTGCGAACCCGATATAACGTGAGAACCGGTCACTCGCCTAATAACCCGCGACAACAGCTCAACGAAGTGACCCCTTGGCTGGACGGAGGGCTCACGTACGGCACCGGCAAGGGTTGGGCCGACACTTTGCGCTCCTTTAGACAGGGGATGCTTTTATCGCATGAAGACAAGGGACAACTTCCGGCCAAAAACGACATAAAACTTCCGATGATTAATCCTCCGCCGCCTTCCGGTCCGCACAAATGGCTGGGAAATCAAAATCCCGATCCCTTGCCCCGTCTCTTACCATCGGATCGATTCTTGAGTGAGCCATCAATATGAAGTGACCATTTTGTTTCGCATAATAATTGCATTTATTTCAATCATTTGCGACACAAAGGGTTGGGTAATCCTCGCGGACACGAGAATCCATTCCTCCTTACAATGGGTGTCATATGGTTTCGTTGGCACAACCAATTGGCGGAACAGATGGCGGCCAACACGGACTGGTCTGACGAGAAGGTGTTCAATGAGGCCCGAAAATGGGTCATCGCTTCCCATCAGAGGATTGTCGCATACGAATGGCTGCNACAATGGGTGTCATATGGTTTCGTTGGCACAACCAATTGGCGGAACAGATGGCGGCCAACACGGACTGGTCTGACGAGAAGGTGTTCAATGAGGCCCGAAAATGGGTCATCGCTTCCCATCAGAGGATTGTCGCATACGAATGGCTGCCCTCTCTGTTGGGCAAACAGTTACCCCCGTATGACAAATACGACCCGAGTATTGATCCCCAGATCTCTAACCTCTTCCAGTCGGCGGCCTTTCGTTTTGGCCACACTTTGGTCACCGCCGGAGGTATTAAACGAAACGCCGACTGCTCTTCGGTCGAGAAGCTGGACGTCAACGGCGGACATGAGATCAACGATCAGATCATACGGACGTGTAATAGCTTNTTCCAGTCGGCGGCCTTTCGTTTTGGCCACACTTTGGTCACCGCCGGAGGTATTAAACGAAACGCCGACTGCTCTTCGGTCGAGAAGCTGGACGTCAACGGCGGACATGAGATCAACGATCAGATCATACGGACGTGTAATAGCTTCTGGAAACCAGTCGACCATTTGCTGAACGGAGGCTTTGAAGAGATAGTAATGGGTCTGTCCTCACAACCGGCCGAACGCGAGGACAACGTTATTGTTGAAGATATTCGCGGCAATGTTTTCGGACCTCTCGAATTCACACGAAGAGATTTAATGGCTATTAATATCCAAAGAGGTGAGCATCTGATCGCAATATTTTGTTTGGTATTACAGATATTTAATAATATTCTGGTCATTAAAGGCAGAGACCACGGATTGCCCGACTATTTGACTACTAGAAGAGAGTTGGGATTAGATGTCGAAGACATGAGTAAACTCAGTATTGAAGAGATTGCGGACAGACTCTGGAGTTATAACATTGGTTTAAATAATGTATTCATTTAAAGTTAATTGCGTTAAAAATGTTTACTAAATATGAATATTGCATAACAATCAGGGATTAAGAGAGAAAATAGTGAAAATATATAGGAATAGAACCGACAAAATAGATGTTTGGGTCGGAGGCCTATTGGAGACAACGCGCACCGGACCCGGAGTGCTCTTCGCACGGGTTATCACCGATCAGTTCCGGAGGATTAGAGACGCCGATAGGTTTTGGTTTGAAAATCAAAATAATGGGTGAGAGATGTCATGAGATTTCACTAAATTTTTTATTTAAATTTGATTAAAATTTTTAATTATAGATTATTTACAAAAGAAGAGATCGAGAGATTGAAAGCGTTGACTATTTATGACATTATTGTCAGCATTACTGGCGTTAAATCGGATAATATTCAGCGAAGGCTATTTCAGTTGCCCACAGGTATTGGTATCGAGAGTTGTGTTAACTATATTACACTATAAATTGTTTCTATCGTTAAACTTAAGACTCAAATCCCATATCAAACGAGTGCTCACAAGCGATGGCTAAATATTCATACGATTGTCTCAATATTATCACAAATACTACCGAAACGTGTCTCACATTGGGTGCCGTCACCAGAGATCGGGTGCTAAACGACAGGTGCACTAAAGCCCATACATATGACTATTTCATAGGCAATGAGTGGAGTTATGCGCTAACCTTCACGGGAATCGGTTTGTTCGGCATTTTCTGTGTTCTCGCACTCAAATGTATGACTAATAGCCGGCAAATGCAAAACGATAAGCAAAGACAAAGCAATTCACGGATGAAGCGAATGACACTCAGCGAAGAAATCGCTTTAGGTTTGCTTTATTGTGGTCTTAAATGAGACAATCATTGACTCTAATTGATTGTCTAATTATATGAATAACAGGCCAGGAATGGGTTGGCAGAAATGAAGGCTTGAGATGCGTTCAAATCATCTGCAAGTCGTCCAAAAAGTGTATTGACGTTAAGTTAGAAAACGGCACAAAAGCTGTCCGTAGTATTGATTTACGAGACGCGGCGGCCATTGAATTGCAGGCCAGCGCTAACCGAAAGCAGGATTACCTGCTTCTGAAAGTGGCCAATGAATACGATTTGGTCCTCAAGTTTGACTCCTATTACGAAAGGGAGAGATTCGCCACAAAAGTGGAGCTCTTTCTCGAAGAGATCGGAGTCGGAAGAGAAAGGATTGAATTGGACTTAAAGTCTATGTTGAAGACCGCCTACACTAAGGAGAGGCGACAGAAACACTTGGAACAGTTCTTCAGAGTTGTCTTCTCTCATGTAAGCCCTAATGGATGTCTATTTCATTCATGTCTTATTAATTTCTAATGTATTGTAATTTTATAATTTATAAAATCAATTGAAAGGCATTTGGAGTGAAAACAAGAGAAGAGTTGAACGTAAGGACAGCGAAAGAAGTGATAAAAACTGAATTAACGCAATACGAGTTCGCGGACGCGCTCTCAATGAGACCCGACTCGACATTCATTCAACAGATGTTCGCTTTGGTGGACAAAGACAACAACGGATACATCTCTTTCCGTGAGTTCTTGGATATGATTGTAATCTTCGCCAAAGGAACCGCTGACCAGAAGGCAAAACTCATGTTCGATATGTATGACATGAACAGCACCGGGAAGTTGACGGTCGACGAGTTTAAGACAATGATCCGATCGATGCTAGAGTTGGCCAATCAGAGCATTTCCGGCCAACAGATGGACGAAGTGATCGGATCAATGTTTAGGAGCGCCGGACTTAGAAGTCGTCAGGAGTTGACATTCAATGACTTCCAGAAACTGTTGGGCGACTATAAGGAAGAGCTCGGATACGCGGAACTCAACTTCGATGGTATTTATCGGTATAATCGATAATTTCGATATAATCTTAAACAATGTATCGGACATACAGTGAGTGGCATTCAAGAGATCGCTTCTCCCGGAGGCAACAAAAGACAGAGCGCTTACCTTAAGGCAAATCAAACGCTGATCCGCGCCTACAGTTACTTCGGCGGCACGACAGCGATGCCCAACGATCCGACACAGCAGACCATTAAACCAATCGCTAAGACATCGCCCTCTTTGCTAAGAGTGGAGACCCACGAAGCGAAGAGAGGGCCCGAATGGCTCACTGTATGGAAACGATCGGTCGACGAACACAAATTGGAAATATTTTGGATCACAATCTATACGGCAATCATTACTTACATTTTCATCGAAAAAGCCCACAGTTTGTCATTATTATTGGATCTGTTGTTTAATTTTTATTAATTGTTTTAAT